GGTTGGTCGATTGTTGTGTACCACATCATTCTTCTTCTAAGTGGATTTGCATCAGTGGTGTTCTCTACTATACAGCTGCAGCCAACGGTTCGCGTTTCAGTTGTATGGTAGTTTGTTTTGATTTGAGGTCTGAGAAGCTCAGCTTTGTCAAGTTCAAGGAAACTTTCAGTAGAGCAATGCATCAGTCAACGACAATGGTAAACTACAACGGCAAGTTAGGTTTACTTATGTCGAGGGATTATGTTACAAGAGCAAGTACAAGTTTTGAGCTGTGGGTTCTACAAGACGCTGAATGGTCCAAGCATGTATACGTATTACCTCATTCGTGGGAGGATGTAGTTTCAGAGGACATGCGCATTTCTGGAATGGTTGGCACAAATGAAATCGTCTTGTCACCATACCAAAACGTGCTTTCCTATGTCATCTACTACAATGTCGAGAGCAAGACGATCAGAAAATTTTGGATCCAAGGGATGGAAGCGTTTCAGGGTAAAAGCTTCTACACCTTTCTCAACTATGTTGAGAATGTGAAGCTTCTTTAAGCATTTTAATAGAGACAAGTGTAGTTTTCATTTTGTGTGTTGCTTTTTTTTTTTTTCTATTGTCTTAGTTTGAAGCTTCTGTTAGCAGAAAATCTTCTTATTATAAACTCTTTAAGATTATCCAAAACAGATAAGTTTAAAATGTGATCTTTCAATGCTGCGACAGTGAGAAGCAGAAGAGTTATTAGTTCATGAAATGAGCAGAATGTTGCTATTTTTCTTAAAATATCCCCGCCAGAAAATGATGTTTGTGGAGGCTGCAGCAGATGCTTACTACCCAGCAGAGTTAGATAGAAAGATGCTAGAGTTGAAGAAGCCACCCATAGTTATTTGAAATGGTCTGTATGGACTAGGAAAGTGCTGAAATGCATTTCTGTTTCTTACTCTCTTCCAACAAATAGTATGGTTTATATTCTTTTGGTTATAGCATTGTGGCACTTGCCGGCAAGAAGAACACAACAAAGCCCAATGCGAAAATTTATCCGAATAACTACCATATGAAATTTTGATTTCTTAATTTCCTTTCAGTTAATATTGCGTTACGTTTATTACATCCAATAATCTTTTCTAAAAATAATATATACACGAGAGAATAAATAATATTTTCTAAAGATGATATGTACATGATAACAATTGCTAAAATCACAAAATAATTGTATCGGCTAATATATGGTTTTGATTTATCACCACGTGAATTATCTAAAGCCAAACATGCAAAAAAATTTACATAAATAACCAACAATTCAGGGTAGTAAAAAGTTTAAGGACATTATGAACAAATATCAGTTAAATAATTTAGATAAATGAAAACACACACCACATATAAATAATTGATATCATAAGTAAAGTCGAAAGTCTAAATGATTATTGATATTTTATATCATTAGTCTATAAGATACACAAATAATATTTTATATCATTAGTCTGTAAGTAAAGTCTAAAGTCTAAATGATTATTGATATTTTATATCATTAGTCTATAAGATACACAAATAATATTTTATACATTAGTCTGTAAGTAAAGTCTAAAGTCTAAAGTCTAAATGATTATTGATATTTTATATCATTAGTCTAGGGTGATATGTAACCCCTTCACGGGACAGTGTTTGACCTTACCAAGATTGCAGTCCAGGCTTAGATATGGAGTGGAAACCTGTCTTGGATATGACCCCATTTCGAAAGAGTTCAAGGTATTGTCAGTGACCTGCTCGCTTGAAAATGGTGTGTTCTCGGTCTACCAAAGGGTGCCTTACTATGTCATCTACTACAATGTGGAGAGAAAGACGATCACAAAAGTTGGAATCCAAGGACTAGAAGCATTCCAGGGTAAGAGATTTCTCACCTATCTCAATTATGTTGAGAATATTGTGGAACTTCTTTACGCATTTTAAGTGAGAGACAAGTATACTATTCATTTGGAGTGTTTTTTTTCCTAGCGTCTTAGTTTGAAGCTTTTGTAAGCAGAAAATCTTCTTGTTATAAACTCATTAAGATAATCCAAAAAGAGAAGTTTAAAATGTGATATTTCAATGCTGTGAGAGGGAGGAGAGTTTTTAGATCCATGAATGTAGCTATTTTGCTTAAAATAACCCCACCAGAGAATGATGTTTGTCCAAGCCCTTGTGGATGATTGATAAATCACAATTAGTTGTAGATCTAATTTTGATTGTGTCGAGTAGAATCTTGAGTTACATAGTTCAGCTTTGCTAGATAATTGATAGAGTAGTATCTTGTAGCACACGTCCTACATCCTTACTCAAAAATATCCAAGAGAAGGTAGCCTTTGAGTGGAATAGTTTCCTCACCTAAGTAAATAATAATATAGGACTTTTTAGCACTTCTCATTGTCAGGATCATGGGAGCTTAACTTTTACCCTTATCTTTTCTACTGATTAGATGCGTTGACTCTTTCTCTACTAATCGAGAAAGACACACAAAAAAAGAGCAGAAGTTTAACAAAAAGTTATAAATGAAGATAACTCAATTAAGGTTGGTCTAAACGTAGATGTTTATTCTTGTTATCTATCTCTTCCAAGTATACTGAATTCACTTCGTAACAATTTACTGAAAGCATCATAGAATTCAATTGAATTTGTTAAACGCTACTCACCACTTGTAAAACGCTACCGTTTTGGGTAAGAAAAAGAAAAACACATGTCGTCAGACTTGTTGCCGTTTTAGTTATACAAAAACAACAAAAAACTAAACACATAATAACCTAAATCGATTGGGGGGGCAAAACAGAACTTAGGGTTTTAATGATTTTGTAAGTGTCTCTCCGCCATGAAACCACGTCGGCAGAACGTGACAATTTCTCGACGCGTTACTCGATCAACGACCACACTTGAACGAAACTCATTGCCTCTTCCTGATGAACTCGTTTTCGAGATATTCTCGAGGTTACCGTTGAAGTCTATAGCTAGATGTCGTTGCGTATGCAAGCTCTGGTCCTCTATGCTCCGCCGTCAAGATTTCACAGAGCTGTTCTTGACAAAATCTCGTGCTCGTCCTCAGCTTCTTTTCGTCTTCAAAAACAACAGAGAGATTGTCTTCTTCTCGTCGCCTCAGCCTGAAATTCCGAAAGATAACTCTTACGTTGTAGCCTCCGATCATCTCGCGCGTTTCCCTGGAAGAAAATATTTTTGTAACAGTGGCTTTTCGTGTTATGGATTTAACCTCATGTTGGATCGTGAGGGTAAGATGGACCAGATGGTGCTATGTAACCCTAGCACTGGACAGTATTTAAACTTGCCAAGATTGAAGTTGCCGAGTAAGACTACGAGCTTTGTATTCACCTATAATGGATATGACCCGATTGGGAAACACTTCAAGGTACTCGCAATTGTATGTTGGCGTGCAAGTAATGGATTGATTTCCGTGGAGCACAAAGTTGTGACATTAGGAGGTAAAAGATTGACGTGGAGGAAAGTTGAATGTTGCATTCCACATCATCCATGTTATGAGGCGATATGTATCAATGGTGTTTTGTACTACTTAGCCGAATCCACCACCAGTTCTCCCGTGGATTCTATGGTAGTTTGTTTTGATTTGAGGACTGAGAAGTTCGCCGTTATTAATTTCATACCTGGTTCAACAACTATGGTAAATTATAGTGGGAAACTAGGTTTGCTTACGTCGGAAGATTCTCGTTATGTTTATGGATCAAGTAAAAGTATTGAGCTGTGGGTTGCTGGAGAAAATGAGTGGTCCAAGCATTTATATATGTTACCTCCTTCGTGGAAAGATGTAGTTACTGAGATCATGTGCATTGCTGGAATGGTAGGTACAAATGAAATCGTCTTGGCCCCGCGCTACCAAGACGTGCCTTCATATCTCATCTATTTCAATGTGGAGAGAAAGACGATCTCAAAAGTTGGAATCCAAGGAATGGAAGTGTTTCAGGGTAAGAGTTTCAACACCTATCTCAACTATGTTGAGAATGTGGAGCTTGTTTAAGTGAGACAAGAGTGTAGTTTTCATTTGTGTGTTGCTTTTCTCTTTAGCTTCTTAGTTTGAAGCTTCTGTAAGTAGAAAATCTTCTTATTAGGAACTCTTTAAGATAATAAATAGTAATCTAAAACAGAAAAGTTTTAAAATGTGGTCTTTCAATGCTGTGAGAGAGGGTGAAGAATTAATTATTAGATCCATGAAGTGAGCAGAATGTAGCTTTGCTGGAGTTATTGTGTACAAACGAAATCGTCTTGTAGGACACTTCCTACATTATCTACTCAAATATCCAAGAAGAGAATGATGCGTTTTGAGTAGAAGAGTCTCTTTTGACTTTGTGTAAATAATTATATTGAACTTCTTAGAACTCCTCATATTATTTGACTCGTGTATGTATACATATCATCTATATGGTTTCGACAAAGGGGACCTATCAGAAGAGTTGGAATGAATGTGCTTAAGCATCGTAGGATTCACACCTTTCTACACCATGCAGAGAACGTGAAGCTTTATGGAAATGATTAGGACTCTGTAACTTGAGATTGTAAAAGAATCCTAGCTTTTTAGTTAGTTAGCAGTTGTTTATGTTATTCAATTGACTATTTTCTGGTTATTCCCGGCTGTGAGGAAATGGTTGTTCTAAAGTATAAGGTTTAGCCTTTAATAGTAGTCTCTTCATGAAGTAAGTCACAAAAGTGACTTGTGTGAGCGATGCTCGGCGTTGGTACCTGGTACGGTGGAATGTTGTAACTGTAAGTCTGTAAGACCATCTCCATCCAGCACTGGATCGTGTCACAAATCCTTTAATCTCATGTGTTTTCCACTATTAGGCACGTAGCTCTTGTTTTTGATCTTGTCCTTATCAATAAATTGGGTAGAGTAAATAGCAATTGGACTATTTTTAATTAAAGTTCAGGTCAAGCCCATTATAAACCTATGACTTTAAATTTTGTCTAAAACCCACAAAAGGGCCATATATTATCACTTCACTCTTTTTATCTTCCCCCGACAAATGATTTTGGGGATAGTTCTAAACCCTAACTACGATTTAAGATTGTTCTACAGCGAATCCAGTCCAAAAATTCAACCTACTGACAGTGAATTTCGAGGTAAGAAAGGCTGAAAACATTATTGTGCACATTTTTTTTTTTTCTGCCTCATGTTATTCTGCAATTTGTTTGATGAAGATTGTTGTTTAGCTCTTTTCATCTCGATCGTGAATGTGACATTTCTAGTGGAATTCGTGGCTAATGCAATCGAACTGTTGTTTTGGAGTTTTGCTTTTTTTTTTAAAAAAAAAAAACTGTTGTTTGGAGTTTTGCTTCTTTTTTCTTTTGTTCAAACTTTGGAGTTTTGCTTGGTTCTAAAATGTTTGTGTTTCAGGTTAGTAAGGTAAGTATCTCCGGTATGAAACGGCAGAAAGCCTCGAAGGGTGGTCTAACCATTTCTCGGCGCGTTACGCGATCGACGACCAGACTTCAGAGAAACTCATTGCCTCTTCCTGAAGAACTCATTTTCGAGATATTCTCCAGGTTGACGTTGAAGTCTATAGCAAAATGTCGTTGCGTATGCAAGCTCTGGTCCTCTATCATTCGCCGTCAAGATTTCACGGAGTTGTTTTTGACCAGATATCGTCCTCAGATTCTGTTCTCCTTCGAAGATGACAGCCACGAGATTCACATCTTCTCGTCGCCTCAGCCCGAAAATCCGGAAGACAACTCGTATGTTGTAGCCACCAATCATCTTGCACGTCTCCCAAGATCCTTTCAACTGTTTGGTTGTACCAATGGCTTCTTCTGTTATGGAGCTGAACGGATCTTCATCGGGAAGAAAATGAAATACTTTGTCCCGGTGATATGCAACCCCAGCACTGGACAGTCCTTCACCTTACGGAATTTGAAGCCCGCGAAGAGGTTTCTTGTGGAAAGCTATCTTGGATATGAGCCCATTGCGAAAGAATTCAAGGCGTTGTCAATGGAAACCTCTTTTGTAAGTGGTGAGTTGATCTCTGTGAAGCACCAAGTTCTGACATTAGGAACCAAAAAATTGTCATGGAGGTTAGTCGAGTGTTGCGTACCACATTATTCTTCTCATAAGTCGATATGCATCAGTGGTGTTCTCTACTACACAGCTGCAGACAACAGTTCGTTCTTCACATCCATGGTCGTTTGTTTTGATTTGAGGTCTGAGAAGCTCAGTTTTGTCAATTTCATGGAAACTTTCAGTTTAGCAATGCATCAGTCAACTACAATGGTAAACTACAATGGCAAGTTAGGTTTGCTTATGTCGAGGGATTATGGTTTTGTTTCAACTGTAAGTACAAGTCTTGAGTTGTGGGTTCTACAAGACGCTGAATGGTCAAAGCATGTATACGTATTACCACCTTCGTGGAAGGATGTGGTTACTGAGAACATGTACATTGCTGGAATGATTGGTACAAATGAAATCGTCTTGTCCCCGCTCTTCCCAAAAGGGCCTTCCTATGTCATCTACTACAATGTCGAGAGCAAGACGATCAGAAAAGTTTGGATCTAAGGGATGGAAGCGTTTCAGGGTAAAAGATTCTACACTTTTCTCAATTATGTTGAGAATGTGAAGCTTCTTTAAGCATTTTAATAGAGACAAGTGTAGTTTTCATTTTGTATGTTTCGTTTTTTTTTTCTAGCATCTTAGTTTGAAAAACCCACCTGTTGTGGATGATAGATAATCTTCTCCTTACAAACTCTTTAGAATGTAAATAGTAATCCAATACAGAGAAGTTTAGAATGTTATCTTTCAGTGATATGATAAGAGTGAGAGTTTCTAGATCCATGAAATTAGATGTCATAAAACAATAGACTTAGCACCTCCATTGAAGGTTCATGGGGGGGAGTTTACACAGAAATCAAGAAAAAATAATAATAAAATAATAAAAATCTATGAACTCCTCTCTCTTAAAGTTCACCGCGGTGAATCCCTCTCTCATGAGGTTCAACACGTGGCGGCTCGGGATTGGTCTAGATTTTTTTTTTGTTTTTTTTTTTTCAAAAAAAAATCAAAAAGAAAAAAAAAATTAATAATAAAAAAATGATTCAAAGAACCCCAAGAGGGGGTTCATTGATGTGGATGCCCTTATCTTCCTTTTTGTTTAAATCGTTACTAATTCTGAATGAAAATTTAATATTGTATTTGGTTAGATACTAGGTGTTTTTCTACAACTATGTGCAAGTGATAATTTTCTTAAAAAAATTAAATTATATTTTAAAATAAAACTAGGTGTTTTCTTGCACCATGTGCAGAAATAATTTTTTGAAAAATTATTTATATTTATCAATAAATGTTTGTTTATTTTTAGATTTTAGTATTTTCGTACAATGTTTTAATTTTAATTTAATTATATAAAAATAAAATAAAATATAATTTTTATTTAAATTTAAATTTAATAATATATATGCATGCATTTAAAACTATGATCTAAAAATTTTTTTTATCTATTGTTTTGTTTTAAATATATTTAATAAATTAAATAAAATTATTATTTTGTTAGGTATATAATTATAAAAACTTAAACTAAATAATATTTATACAATTTGTAGATATTTAAAAGAAGCTCACAGTAATGGATTAGGAAATTATATATATTTTTTTAAAATTGTATAATTTTTTGAATTTTGTTTAGCAATAACAATTATAAATTATATATATAAATTTAAGAATATTTCAAAAATTGTAAAATGTTATTCCATTTTATTTTACTATTAAATTATTTATTGTTATATTAATGATGATTTATGAAATATTACCATATCTTAGAAACTTACCAAAATATAAAATAACAATTAATGTAAATATCCATGTTATAATTAACATTATGCCATGTCATATTTATTTGTTAGTATGCCATGTTATTTTTTTCTTTTAAAATCATTTCTCAAATAATAATTAAGGAATTTAATATTATTATATATTTCAATGTGGAGAGAAAGACGATCACAAAAGTTGGAATCCAAGGACTTGAAGCATTTCAGGATAAGAGTTTCAACACCTATCTCAACTATGTTGAGAGTGTGGAGCTTCTTTAAAAGGACAAGTGCAGTTTTCATTTGTGTGTTGCTTTTTTCTTTAGCGTCTTAGTTTGAAGCTGCTGTAAGTAGAAAATCTTCTTATTAGGAACTCTAAGATAATAAATAGTAATCTAAAATAGAAAAGTTTTAAAATGTGGTCTTTCAATGCTGTTAGATGGAGAAGAATTATTACATCCATGAACTGAGCAGAATGTAGCTTTGCTGGAGCTATTGTGTACAAACGAAATCGTCTTGTAGCACACTTCTTACATATTATCTACTCAAATATCCAAGAAGAGAAGGAAGCGTTTTGAGTGGAATAGTAAAGTAAATAACAATATTGGACTTCCTAGAACTCATATTATTTAACTGTTTTATGTGTACATATCACTTATACGTTTTCTGTTAGGATAACTATCAGAAGAGTTAGAATGAATCTGCTTACGCATCGTACAATTCACACATTTCACACCATGTAAAGGACTTGAAACTCTATACAAAAGGACTCTATAACTTGAGGTTGTCAAAGAATTATGGCTCCTTTATGTTATTCAATGACTATTTTCTGGAGGTTATCAAAGAATTATTCGGAGGTTATGAATGAATAATTCTGCGCGAATAATATTTGAGTATTAAAACTGTAGATTTTAATTACTCAGGGGAATTAAATGTCCATCTTTCCTGCTTTTGTGTTAAATTTTATTCAAACTTGATTAATCTACCAGATCACAGTAAAAATAACCCACTAAAGGCCCATATATTATTACTATACTCTCTTGATCTTCCCCGTCAAATGATTTGCGGATAGAGCTAAACCCTAACTACTTCAAATCCAGTCCAAAATTTCAGCCTAGTGACTGAATTCGAGGTAAGAGATACTGAAACCGTATATGCTACAAATATCTAATATTGATGAAGTTCTGGTAATCTGACATTTCTGTAGAATTTTTATTAAAATACGTTTCTCATGAGCTAGTAGAATCTGTAGCTAAGTTCGAGATTGTATGTGAAGATTAGTTTCTTGGATGAAATCGAAGCTTTTTTGTATGTAGTTTTGGGAACACACTACGCCATGAAGGGTGGTCTAACCATTTCTGGACGCGTTACGCGATCAACAACCACACTTCAGCGAAACTCATTGCCTCTACCTGATGAACTCGTTTTCGAGATATTCTCCAGGTTGACGTTGAAGTCTATAGCTATATGTCGTTGCGTATGCAAGCTCTGGTCCTCTATCATTCGCCGTCAAGATTTCACAGAGCTGTTCTTGAAGATTACAGCCACGAGATTCACTTCTTCTCGTCGCCTCAACCTGAAAATCCGGAAGACAACTCGTATGTCGTAGCCGTAGACACCAATCATATTTTACGTTTCCCCAAATACAGTAAACTAATTGGTTGTACCAATGGCTTCTTCTGTTATGGAGCTGACCAGGGGAGGAAAAAACCAGTGCGTGTGACAGTGATATGTAACCCTAGCACAGGACAGTCCTTGACATTACCAATATTGAACTCGAGGATTAGGGTTGGACTTGGAACCTATCTTGGATACGACCCCATTGCGAAACAGTTCAAGGTATTGTCTGTATTGTCTGCATTGTGTCAGGAGCATTATGTTATGACATTAGGAACCAACAGATTGTCATGGAGGGTGGTGGAATGTTGCATCCCACATTGTCCTTCTACTACGTGGATATGTATCAGTGGCGTTTTGTACTATATGTAGCTATAGAATCAAGGTCGTCCTTGGAATCAATGGTAGTTTGTTTTGATTTGGGGACTGAGAAGTTCAGCTTTGTCAAGTTCAGTAGAGCACTGCCTCATTCAAAAACTCTGGTTAACTACAATGGCAGATTAGGTTTGCTTACGCCGTCGGAAGATTCTCCGTATGTAAGTCGATCCAGTAAAAGTTTTGACCTCTGGGTTCTTCGAGATGCTGCAAAAAATGAGTGGTCAAATCATGTTTACATGTTACCTCTTTTATGGAAGGATGTATAGCTGCAGAGAGCATGCGCATTGTACCTCTTACATGAGCACGGGAAAATCACGTAGTCATATTCTAAATATAAATCGTACACAAATTAGTCCAACATATATAAAATCCAAATTAATCTTTTTATTGATTAATACCTGAAAGGATCAGAAGGCAAGAAACTAAACATGACCATATCTCTTACACTTCCTTTCATAACTATAAACTTCCTCATCACACCTTCTCTAGTAAACCCAACTTTTTCAAGAACCCTTTGAGAACCGACATTTTCCACGTCAACTAGTGCCTCAACCCTCTCAACCTCCGGCATTTCTTTGAATACCTCCGCCGTCACTAGCCTCACCGCCTCCGTGGCGAACCCGTTCCCCCAATACTTTCTCGCTAGCACGTAACCGATCTCTTTCCTGATCTTATCGACCGGCATGATCAAGATGTAGCCGATGGGACGGTCGTCCTCTAAACAGATGGCTCGGAGCCAAGGGTGTGTCAAGACCGAATCTGTTATATATTTGATGGCTTCTTCTCGGCTCGTGCATGGCTCCCAAGAGCAAAAGCGTGCGACTTCAGCGTCTGTAGCCCATACCATGTAGTCGTCGACGTCTGAAAGAGTCATCGGCCGGAGTGATATTCTTCCTGACGGTGATGAAACAACCACCGTTGGTTGTGTCTCGTTTAAGTCCATCTCTATTTAGGATAGTGAGTGTTTCAGATATCACATCATAACGTCAATGCCGATATCTTCATAAATAGGGCGCTTTTATCGCAACAAAAGTCGAGTTTTGCTTCTTGCTTTTAATAAATAAAGTTAGTGGTAATATTATATAATTATTCTAAAGCTCCAACAGAAGATGGCGTGTCTTTGTCAGCGTGCGAGCGAATGGAAGTTGTCAATTTTGACCTTTGACTGTTAACACTTACTTGGTTGCCAAACAAAGCATAGATCGGACTTCGGAACATACCGTGTTGCTTCCACTGGGATCCCCAAGAGAGTACGTGACGATGGTGTGTGGTTCCTTGTCCAAAGAGAATTTAACTTTTTTAGAAGGGGTTGCAGTAAATGATTTGCTACTATTACTAGCTTTTTGTCAACTTGCTACTATTTTTAGCTATGAATGGCACAATGTTATATTCAGTCAACGCAAGACTCAACATGTTTTCTTTTCGTAACAAGGCTGAAAACACGCCCTTTAGCTCGTGTCATGTAATTCTCAAAATATAATAAAACAGTAAACTATTATAATTTATAATATTGAAAATCTATACCATTATTTAAGAAGTAAATTTGCTTAGTTGTCAACTTCTCCTTGATTTTAGGTAAATTTTTTTATTTACCTTATTTAAATAATTTTATATAAAATTTATTATTTAATAAAAACGAATTTATATTAATACTCTTATATTTTTTAAAATAAGATAATTCTTATGAATTATGTTTTTATCTTGAAATATATTTTTATATATAAAACTTAAATTTTAAATTAAGATATAAACACTGTTATATTTATCTACAACGAATTTATATTAATAACTTAGTATTTAAATATAATTAAAACGAATTTATATTAATAATTTAATATTTTCTAAAATTAATATATAAAAATTATATTATTAATAATTAAAAAGAATTTCTATTAATAATATTATACTTTTAGAAAATAAGATAATTCTTATGTATTATATTGTTATCTTAAAAATATATATTTTTATCATAGAAATCAAAATTAAGTTAAAATATTAGTAGTTAAATATAAAAAAGCAATACTGATTTATCAATTTCTCCATGGTTTTATACTTTGCTTATTTATCATATTTTAATAATTTCATATATAATTTATTAAATAATAAAATGAATGTATATAATAATACTAGATTTAAAAAAAGATAATTCTTATCTATTAGATTGTTATCTTGAACATATATTTTCTATTAGAAAATTTAAGTGAATTATCTGATTTGTAATTTCTCCATGATTTAGATAATTTTGATTATTTGTCATATTTTTAATAATTTCATATAAAATTTATTATAAAATAAAAACGAATTTCTATGAAAAATTATATTTTGATAAAATAAGATACTTCTTATGTATTATATTGTTATCTTGAAAATATATTTTATTATATAAACAAAAAATTAAGATAGAAAAAATTATAATTAAAATAAATTAAAGCAACACAATTGTAAAAATATATTTTTAAAAATATTTTATTATGTGAGTGTTGTCATCTAATTAATTTAAAACATAAAGCATAACTTATTATTTTGGTTTGAATTAATAAAATATAGATTAATAATAATTTATATGAAAATTATGCACGCATGTGCGGGTAAAACACCTAGTTTTAAAATATTCATACCACAATAAAAAAGGCTGAAAGCACCCTTTTTATTTAAAAATAAATAAGTTACAAGAAACTCATACCAGAATATACATAATTTTAAGACATCCACATAAATATTTATATATACTTACATTTAGATTTTTATGAACCCCCCAACTAAACATGATCTAAGACTATATGTTTTTCTTTTGTAACAAGGCTAGACTCAACATGTGCAAGAATTCACCCAAAGTCAACATAATTTTATTTGATTTATTGTTAAAAATATTTGACTTCTATAACTTTTTAGCACTACCTTGTGAGATTAACAGATTTTCATTCATCTGATCATTGGTAGATATTAGTTTTCTCTTGTAACATCTGACAACATCATCTTTTTCATTATATTGTATTTTTCATTTTCCTTTTAATTGTTTTAACTTTTAAAATGTAAACGTTTACATTCCTATGAGATGTTGAACCCTTGTTTTCATTTTATGAAGTGATCACGGTAGATACAAAGACACGTACTTATTCTAAAAAAATATACATAATTTTGGTAAAATAATACATCCATAAGGTTATAACAACAATTTTAAAAATAAATAGTACATCCATATCAAATTAGATTTGATCTTTTTTGATTCAAAATCAGAGCAAAGAATCAGAAGGCAAGAAACTAAACATGACCATATCTCTAACATTCCCTTTAAGACACATGAACTTCCTCATCACACCTTCTCTCACAAACCCAACTTTTTCAAGAACCTTTTGAGACCCAACGTTATCTACATCGACAAGAGCCTCAAGCCTCTCCATCTCCGGCATCTCCTTGAATATCTCCGCCGCCACAAGCCTCACCGCCTCCGTCGCTATCCCTTTCCCCCAATACTTGCTTCCGATAACATAACCGATCTCTCCTCTGATACTATCGACGGGCGTGACCGAGATCGAGCCGATGGCGTAGTCATCATCTAAGCAGATAGCTCGGAGCCAAGGGTGTGGCAAAACAAAGTTGTTTATGAAAGCTATGCCGGCCTCTCGGCTCGTGTAAGGCTCCCACGTGCAAAAGCGTGTGACGTTTACGTCAGTTGCCCAGACCATGAAGTCGTCGATGTCGGAGAGAGTCATTGGTCGGAGATGGATTTTCTCGGACGGTGAGGAAATCATGGCTTTGAGAGTGCATGAGTCGATCTCCATCTCGGATGATGATTCTTTTGAGTTTTCTTGGACGTTTGTTTCCTTTGAAGGCATTGAAGCTTGTATTCTCAAAGATTGCTAAGGCAATTTGTACTTGATTCTACACATATCGTGGTTTAAATAACTTTTAGACATTTGTATATTAAAAATAAGATTAAAAATAAAGGAAAAAAAAATACAGAAGTTTCCTTGTTGCATCTACCGGTCAAATACGCAACAACTAAGGTCTTTAATTACTTAAGCATATGGATGGATTGGTCAACTTCTATAATGGAGAAAAAAACAGAGTAATGTGACATGGCATAGAATGTTTGGTCATTTTTTCCAATTAGACTATTGATTGCTTTTCTATAGTTACTGTAAGATTGTTGCACCAAAAAAAAAGTTAGTGTAAGATTTTCTTTACTTTTAATTTGGTTGAAAGTTAAATATTTTACTCAACAAACAGAGTATGTAAAAGATTTTAATTTTGAGAAAAATATAACAAAAGAAGAATAGAACAAAAAAAAACGAGGCACACAACTTTGAAGCTTTATGCAAATGTTTAGAACTTTGTTAACCTGATAATGCATACAATCTAACATTTTAATCAACAAACATTTTAACTATTACATCATGCGATTAGAACCTAATCTAATAATTAAAATCTAACATTGGTACATACATATATTTTTTAGACGTTACTTTTATATGTTAATATGTTTGTTTTCTTTTTGTCAAACGTTAATATGTTTGTTCATCAACCATTTTGAAAGACAAATCAAAATTTAACGTCTAACTATACATACAATCTAACAATTAAACTATAGAGAAAATAGTTTTTTAAGCCAAATAGTTTTGGACATTGTCCTCTTAGGCTAATTTGATTATTGTTTCATTAGGCTAAATATTTCCTAAATAGCAATCCTACCCTTAAATTATATAGTTTTAGTTATTAATTCGTAATTAGGATAATTATAATTATAAAAAATTTGAAATTTGTTTTTAATAAATATTAAAATATAATATTATTCGAAAAGGATAAAAACTAAAAATCTGTCCCCTTTGTAAACCTAATTGAAA